TCCATTGAAATCTCCTCCTATGATCAAATACCCTTTTTGTATTCCCTCTATTTCTTTAAATATTGTTTCATAGAATTCCGCTTGGTTAGTGTTTGGAGCATATACATTAGCAAAGGTGAAATCCTCATTCCCCATTGTCCCTTGTATAATAATATATCTTCCTTGCTCATCTATCTTTGTTTCTTTTATATTGAAACCACATTGATTTTGGATTATAATTGCCACACCTCTCGATTTAGATGTTCCATATGATTTTATATACGTTACAGATCCCCGCATCTTAAGCTCGTTCACCTTCGGTTTGGATTGATGAGTCTCTTGTAAGAATACAAGATGAGCTTTAGCTTTATAAATCAAATCTGCAATGGTTTTCCTTTTAAAAATTGAGCCCAAACCTTTACAGTTCAAAGATACGATCCTCAGGTGTTCCCCCATTCCTTTACCATTCTACTTTTACTCTTACTTGGCTGGTCCCTAATTCGTGCTCCCCCCTGTTTTACCCCCCTCTCCCTCCTTCCCCTCCCTTCCCTCCCTTCCCTTGTGTAGTGTTCTTCTCCCCCTATTCCTTTCACCCCACTATGTTCAAAGACTACTTGTCTCGAACCTGGTTTACTCCAAACCATTTTGTGGGGTGGGGGGAGAGGACCCATCCTCCATCTGAGTGCACCCATTCCGATATCTCCCAAGGTATTCTTATATTGCCTTAACTAGTAGGATGACATATTTCATACTAATGATTAGTCAGTCCTTCTCACAGTCTCTTTCATTCCTGTCTTGGTCCATATTAGTCTTCTTTTCCAGTCGCCAGATCCGGTTTCCCTTTCTCTTTCTCCCCTCCCTTCTTTCCTATCTGTGTTGTATCTGTTGTCCCATTTGTCAAATTCAGTTCATTCAGCAATACTAGACCTTGATCTAGAGACGTAATTTTATAGTTATTATTTCTCCAGCGAAACCTCAAGAAAACCGGGTAACCCCAGTTGTACTGAATTTTCTGGCTTTGTAAAATGGTGGTACATTGGCGAATGGATTTCCGCCACTCCAAAGTTTCAGGGCACAGATCTGGAAAAATCTGTATTGGTGTCTCCTGGTATTTTAGTGAGGATGCTTGTCTTCATAATGCTTTCATTATCTTATCTTTGTAGTAATAATTCCCAACTCTGACCAAAGTGTCACGAGGAAAAGAGGTAGTTTTCTTATATCCCACTCTATGGATTCTCTCAAACCAGGCTTCCTCACAGTCTGTTTCAGAGTTCTGTTTAAGCCATGTCATTATTTCTCTTTTTAACATCCCAGGGTTTTCTCCATTCATCTCTGGGAAATTCCTAATTCGAATGTTCATTCTTCTATCTCTGTCCATTAAATTTATTACCCTCAAGTCCATTCTTTGAAGGCTTTTTTGAGATTGTTTTATCTCTGCTGCATTTGCCACTAGTTGTACTTCCACTGCTGCTACTCTTACATCCAAGTCTTGGTTTTCCTTTTCCAGTTTCTGTGAAGTTGCTTGTAAGTTTTTTATTTGATTTTCTAGCCCGGTGATCTTAGTTGTAATTTCTTGAGTGCTGTTTATGATCATATCTTTGATCCCTTGAATCTGCTGTAGTAGTTCTTTATTTGTGATTTCCTCTGGTTCGTCCTTTCCTCCATTTCGTGATGTTGCCATTGTGGCTTTAGATTTATGGCTCCTTCCCTGGAATGAGCAATCAGCGAGATACTCAGCCGATTCTGTCTCCTGTGCTCTTTCCCAGCTTTTGTCGGAGGGCCGGCGTTGTAGGTAATAATTAATTTCTCTTTGCTCAGCCCTCTTTCTCTTTGTTCTAGAAGCACACAACCTCACAACCTAGACCTCACAACCTCTGAGGATTTTTGCCATAGATGCAGGCGAAATGTCAGGAGAGAATGCTTCTAGAACATGGTCAAATAGCCCGAAAAACCTACCACAACCCAGTGATTCCAGCCATGAAAGCCTTCAACAATGCAGGCTGAAAAGTTTTTTTAAAAACAAATCCAATTATTTATTAATCTATTAAATACTTCCTCTGGTGCAAGAAACACCTCTCAATGGACTCACCACTACCTCAAACAAAAGAAGAGGATAACTCTACGCAATAAGTCCCAACATGATTCTACTTGTTGAGCTGCGATTCCAAGTAATGCCCACTGCAGTGTTCGAGGGTTGCTACCATAATGTGCCATGGGAAAACAGCCTATGTATCTGTAGTCAATGTCGGGTAGAAGACTGTGTATTATTTGTTAGTCTGCCCACTGTACAGTGACCGAAGAGGAAGACACCTGAAACCCTTGCTGCCACAAGGTAAAGGGAACTCTGTTAAAGAAACAGTGCAGTTTCTGCTGAGCAACACAAATAAATATGTAACTTACAAAGATCTTTTTGCTCTATCTGCAAAAAGATCAGAAAGACAAAGTTAGATAAAGGTGCCATCAACTGCTGAAGAGACTCTATGGGTTAAATGCATCCCTCTCCCAAACTAACTTTTAATTATTGTTAACTTGCATTATTTTTGCTCTTTGTGAGAGCATTAACCTCATCACACTAGAGCAGGGGTCCTCAAACTGAGGCCCGGGGGCCGGATGCGGCCCTCCAAGGTCATTTACCCGGCCCTCGCTCAGGGTCAACCTAAGTCTGGATCGACTTGAAAGCACACAACAACAATCCGATATCATCAGCCAAAAGCAGGCCCACACTTCCCATTGAAATACTGATAAGTTTATATTTGTTAAAATTGTTCTTCATTTTAATTATTGTCTTAAGTGTTTTTTTGCACTACAAATAAGACGGACTGTGATCTGGCCCTCTGTTTAAATAGTTTGAGGACCCCTGCACTAGAGAATGAATCTACTTTAAATCCAGTTGCTGCCTCCTGCAGAATTCTGGGGTTTGTAGTTTAGGAAGGAGCTTTTAACAGCCTCACTAAACTACAAACCCTAGCATTCTGCAGGAGGCAGAAACCGGATTTAAAGTGGATTCATTCTCTAGTGTGATGAAGTAGCAAGATAGTGGTTTCTGTTTAGCATCTTTGGTGCCGTTGCTTCGAGGGTACTAATGTGTGCATGTGCTGCTTTTTGTCATGGCATTGGGCCCATACAATAAACTATTTTGATGATTTCATTATTCTACCTGTAACTGCAATTTGCCTGCCACATGCCCGTAAGCCTGGGCATATGCCTGCATAACATGCATAGCATAAAGCTGTGGCTGCTTCTCTTTCTATAGGGGTTACTGTATACTGTCCCTATGTGTAACACCGCAGCTGATAGGTAGCTATGGGGACAGAGCTGCATAGAGGCTTGCATGTTCAGAGAATATGTAGATAAGGGAGAGCAATCAATACACACACACACGTTGATGAAGGCATATCTATGCTGGAAAATATCTGACTCTGCTAAGTAATGATTAGATCTTATCTGTAACTTCCAGCATTCCTCGCCATGGGCTATGCATTGTTGGGCTGATGGGAGCAGCACCTCAACAACATCTGGAAGGCCACACAATCCCTACTCTTGAATAAGAGAACTGAAGACAATTTCAGTCAAATTGGTGGTATTACTCACTTGCTTGAAAGTACCTCTCCCCATATGCATGCTTGATCTCATCGGGAAGCCTATCCCAGAGGCGAGTGAATGTGTCCACCAACAATTTCTCATTTGTGATGGCAGTTCGGAAGTAGCCTGGTTCTATTATACAGACCTTTACTCCAAACCTGGCCAGCTCAATCCTGCAAGAAGGGAAAGAGAATAAATCATGTATTTCAGAATACAGTGTCTTCAGAACAACTTCAGGGTTTTTTTTTCAGATAAGAAAAGTGTTTTGTGGTCAGATCTAGGAACCATTCAGTTCAACTTCCAATTTGCCTTCTGCCAGTTTGAAGGTTCAATTTAACTATATGTGGCTGCACATACATTTTGGACTGTAACCCCTGTCATCCCTCATCAGTACAGAGAGATGGTGGGGAATTCAATCCAACAAGATCTGCAGGAAAACCACTGTTGAAATCTGAATTAGTTTTCCACAAGTGGACAGAGGCAACAAAATCCACACATTGTTTCCTCTGCCTACTCTCTAAAGCACACAGGGACATTATCACACAGCCCTTAAAACACCAAAAACATTTTCCGTCATTGGATTAAACTTTTTTTTATGTCAGGAGTGACTTGAGAAACTGCAAGTTGCTTCTGGTGTGAGCGAATTGGCAAGGACACTGCCCAGGGGATGACCAGATGTTTTACCATCCTGTGAGAGGCTTCTTACATATCACTGCATGAGAAGCTGGAGCTGAAAGTCAGGAGCTCACCCCACTCCCCAGAATCGAACCAGTGACCTTTCAGTCAGCAGTCCTGCCAGCACAAGGGTTTAACCCATTGTGCTACCGAGGGCTCCTATCGGATTAAACTGATTTCACACTATACGTTGGATAAGAGACTTAGCAACAAGTTGCTAATTCCCAGCTCTTTCATGATTTCCTAACCAGTAGCTTATGCAAAACTCATTGCACACCTTTGGACTTGGATCTGCAACAGAGACAGGGACAATTTAGACTTGGATCAAAATACAGAGTGAGTTGGACAAAGTGCAACTCTCCTTGTGTTGTTGGACTGCAGCTCCCACCTTTCCATGTCATGATCTCTGCTGGTTAAAGTTCATGAAAACTGCAGCCTGGTATCTGGAAGACCACCTTGTTGTAATAGCAGAACTTCAGAAATTTATATACAGGCAGTTTCTGAGTTACAAGCATCTGACTTACAAACAGCTCATAGTTAAGAACAGGGGTAAGACAACAGGAAGTCAAGGAGATCTACCTCTAGAAGGGGAAATTCAGTCCTGGAAGAGCTATCATGGGGAAAAGGTGTCTCAACTGAAGCTTTTTCGCCAATCCTAGTTTCCACAAAGTAATTTTTTCAAAATGCAATTATCTCAGGAACAGAAAGTGAGATGAAATCTTTTGACCAGGGGCATTGACAGCAACACAAACCAACAGGGGTGTAAACCCTTCCCTATGGCATCCAAAGCTAACATATATATTATTGGCTTGACTTGCACTTAAAAATGCACCTGCTCTGACTTACAAACGAATTCAATTTAAGAACAAACCCACAAAACCTATCTTGTTCATAACTCGGGGACTGCCTGTATTTCACTAGATTCTATTATTATCTCCTCATACACATCAGCAGCCAGTTAACATTTTGGTGTACCATTCCTCCTTTAAGCTACATTTTGGGGTTCTTTTTGGGATATTTTTCCCTACAGATTTTTTTTGTATTCCAAACTTCACTTCCCATGAGCTTCTCTTGTGTGGAGACGGCATAGTGTTAGCTGTAGAAAGATCCACACTCTGAGGAGATTGCTATTTGTATGTGGAATCATAGAATTATAGCATTGGAAGGGACCTCATGGACCATCTAGTCCAACCTCCCTCCAAGAAGCAAGAAAATCACATTCAAAGCACCTCCGACAGATGGTCATCCAGCTGCTGCTTAAAAGCCTCCAAAGAAGGAGCCTCCACCACACTCCGGGGCAGAGAGTTCTGCTGCTGAACAGCTCTCAAAGTTAGGAAGTTCTTCCTCATGTTGAGGTGGAATCTCCTTTCCTGTAGTTCAAAGCCATTGTTCCCGTCCTAATCTCCAGGGCAGCAGAAAACAAGGCTTTCCCTCCTCCCTATGACTTCCCCTCACATATTTATATATGGCCCTCATCATGTCTCCTCTCAGCCTTCTCTTCTGCAGGCTAAACATGCCCAGCTCTTTAAGCTGCTCCTCATAGGGCTAGTTCTCCAAACCCTGGATAATTTTAGTCACCCTCCTTTGAACACATTCCAGCTTGTCGACATCTCCCTTCAATTGTGGTGCCAAGAATTGGACAGAGTGTGATTCCAGGTGTGGTCTGAACAAGGCAGAATAGAGAGGTAGCATGAATTCCCTGGATCTAGACACTATACTCTTATTGATGCAGGTCAAAATCCCATTGCCTTTTTTTGCTGCCACATGAATTGTTGGCTCATGTTTAACTAGTTGTCGACAAAGACACCAAGATAGTTATTGCTGTTGAGTCAGGCGTCCCTCATTCTGTATCTTTGCATTTCATTTTGTCTGCCTAAGTGGAGCATCTTGCATTTGTCCCTGTTGAACTTCATTTTGTTAGTTTTGGCCCATCTCTCTAATCTGTTGTTTTGGATTCTGCTCCTGTCTTCTGGAACATTGGCTCTGCCTCCCAATTTGCTGTCGTCTACAAACTTGATGATCATGCCTTCTAACCCTTCAACTAAGTCATTAATATTGATGTTGAACAGAACCGGGCCCAGGACGGAACCCTGCTGATGGCACTCCACTCGGCGCTTCTTTCCAGGATGAAGAAAAAGTATTGGTGGGCACCCTCTGGGTTCATTCTCTTAACCAATTACAGATCTACTTGACTATAGTTTGACTTAGCCCATATTTTACTAGTTTGTTTGCCAGAGGGTCCTGGGCAACCTTGTCAAAGACCTTACTGAATAGCAGGTATAGGCAAGCAGATGCTTTCAATATGTTTTAGGCTACAGCTCCAACAAGACCACGCCAATGGTCTGGGATTACAAAGGTGGACTCCAACCTCCGTAATCCCTAAAAAAATCCTTCTTTCATATTCATGTCACATAAAGTCTAAAATAATATAGTCTAATAGCAAAGCATTAGCTGTGAAATCTAATCCCACAATGATACTGTGAGGACATCCTATTGTATGCATTTATGAGATACATTAGATATTGCCTGACAAAAACATCATTGCATAACACAGTTGCAGATGTTTGAAACACTTCCCACAATTCAAGTTTTTGGATTTTTACTTTCAAATTTTCCCCCATCACTAACACCACCTCCACCAAAATAAGATGCAATTATTTTTACCAAGTGTTCGGACATTGTAAAACAGCAACAGTGTAGTTTTCTCGTACAAAAGTGGGAGAAGAGATGATTTCCATGCCCGTGAAAGCTCTTAATGGGGAGCAAATGCCACTCAAATCAGAATTGTGTAATATGTAAATTATGAAGGAATGGCTTAATCTAGATCAGAACTACATGGCACAATTTTGCTGTTGTAAACTGCTGTCACATCAACTGACTTATGGCAATCCCATCTATGAGAATCTGCTAGTCGCTTTATCCACAACAGCCCTGTTCAGGTCTTGCTGACTCAGGGCCATGGTTTCCTGAATTGAGTCAACCCACCTCCAATGGGGTCTTCCTCTTTTTCCTCCTGCCATCTACCTAATCAAACATCATTGTCTTTTCTAATGAATCGTGTCTTCTCAAGGCCAAAAGCCCCCAGTGGCACAATGGATTAAACTCTTGTGCTAGCAGGACTGCTGACTAAAAGGTCTGCAGTTTGAATCTAGAGAGCAGGATGAGCTCCCGTCTGTCAGCTCCAGCTTCTCATACAGGGATATTAAAGAAGCCTCCCACAGGATGGTAAAATACCTGCGTATCCCCTGGGCAACATTCTTGCAGACAGCCAATTCTCGCACACCAGAAGCGATTTGCAGTTTCTCAAGTCACTCCTGACACACACAAAAATTGATATGGCAGTCTCAGTTTAGTTATCTTGGCTTCGAGGAAGAGTTCAGCTTGATTTGTTCTAGGACCCATTTATTGGTCTTTTTAGCAATCCATAGCAATGTCTAGAATTCCCCACCAGCACTACATTTCAAATCAGTTAATAGTCCTCCTATCAACTTTGTTCACTATCCAGCTTTCACAACCTCACATAGAAATAATAAATATAATGCCATGGACAATCCTAACTGTAGTAGTCTGTGATATATCTTGATACTTCAGATCTTATCTATTCCTTCATAAATAAAGAGCAACACTCAAAAAACAGGGGAATTCAATACAATCAATCAGGGCCAGCTAACACCTCCCAGCAAAGGCAGCAATCAGCCAGACTTTAAATGATAATCAAGGTGTCCAGTTACAATATTCACACCTGCCTTCAACAGACAAGAGTTCTTTCTCCCACCCTGGACATTCCACAGATAAATGCCTAGTTTCCACAGACCTTACAACCTGAGGATGTCTGCCACAGATGTGGGTGAAACATCAGGAGAGAATGCTTCTGGAACATGGCAATACAGCCCAGAAAACTCACAGCAGCTTTGTGTATAGATTGAATTTGTAAAATGCACAGCATCTTTGTTTAATAAGGGATTTTTCTTTAATCAACTGAAATGCTGCCTTTGGCTGTAAGGATGTGAGTCAAAGCATCCTAAGCTGCTTCAAAGCAACATGGATCTGAGCAATCTGCAGGATTCAAGCGAAGATGAGGAAACTTTCTCTGCCCAAGGCCATATTTCATCAAGGCAACTTTTAAGATATCATGTGAATAGAGTATGGAGCCAGAGCTATTCTCATTTTTTCTCTCTGCTCCATATATTCTCCCTCTCCCCTTTCCTCTCCAATTCCTTTGCCTCTCGGTTTGATGAAATAAGCCTGAGAGGTACTGGTGTGAAGGCAGTTTCACACGAACCAGTGTAAGTTGAAGAAACAAGAAATCCAACAAAGTCTATTTGTACACTATAGCATTATAGACTCATAGAGTTGGAAGAGATGCCAAGGGCCAGCTATCCATCCCTCTGCCATGAGGGAAAAGCACAATCAAAGCACCCCTGACAGATGCTCATCCAACCTCTGTTTAAAAGCCTCCAAGGAAAGAGCTTCCACCATACTCAGAGAAAGAGAGTTCCACTGCTGAACAGCTCTTACAATCAGAAAGTTTTTCATAATGTTTAGGTCGAATCATTTTTCCTGAAGTTTGAATCCATTGCTCCTAGTCTCCAGGGTAACAGAAAACTTGCCCTCTTCTCAATGGGACATCCTTTCAAATATCTCAACATGGTTATCATGTCCCCTCTCGGACGTCTTTTCTCCAAGCTAAACATACCAGCTCCATCCGCCGTTCATCATAGGGTTTGGTTGCCAAACCTTTGATTACTTTGGTCACCCTCCTGTGTACACATTCCAGCTTGTCAATATATCTCTTGAATTCTAGTTCCCAGAATTGGAAACATTATTCCAGGTAAGATCTAACCAAAGCAGAATAGAGTGGGACTATGCCTTCCCTCAGTCTAGACCGTGTATGGGCAAACTAAGGTGGGAAAGCCAACTATTTTCTGGAGTTGAGCAACACAGATTGGATTTGTGATTTTGCATTTTCTGTTGACATATTGACACACATGAATAATCTGAATGTTAAGCTACAAGGGGAAGATACATTTGTATACAAAATGTATACATACTGTATGTGACAGCCTTCAAGTTCACTTTGTTTTCAAGACAAAAGTGCTCACAGATCGTCTCTTTAATTTTCTGCTCCAGAATCTTTCCTGGTATTGACATCTGGTTGAGCGGGCAGTAATTGTTTGGGTCTTTCCCCCTCTTTCTTGAAGATAGGGACATTTGAACTTGTCCTGTTCTCCAGGAATTCTCCAAAGTGATTCTGAAATTATTTTCAGTTCTTTTAATGCCTTTGGATGCCATTCATCTGGCCTTTGAGATCTGAATTCATTTAGATTAGCCAGATATTCCTGTGTGGTCCCTTTACCTATTCCGTCCTGCATTTCCTTTACTGCATCCTCTGCTCCATCCTCTCCAAGTTGAGCACTGTTAACTTTTTGGGAGAAGACTGAGGCAAAGAAAGTGTTGACTAGTTCTGCCTTTTCTTTGTCCCCTTTTAGCATTTCACCATTCCCAGTAAGCAACACTCAATTTCCTTGTTCTTCCCTTTTTTAATGGACATAACAAAAAAAACACCCCTTCTTCATATTTTAACCTCTTTTGGAAGATTGAGCTCATTCTGCACTTTGAATTATCTAATTTTATCATTAGAGGTGGAAGAGATCACACGAGCTCTCCAGTCCAACTCTCTTCCATACAGGAAAAGCACAATCAAAGCACCCCAACAGATTCTTCTTTGGTGATGTCTCCCTTTTTCCATTTCTTGTACATTTCCCTAGGCAAAAATACTTTAAAGTGCAACTTATGTCAGAAGTCGGATAAGTGCCTTTAGCTTATGGCATAAATCTGCTTTGTACAGGAGGAGGAATATTATTGGTGCCAACAGCCTGGCTCATTACTATAACTATTTAAAAGATTACAGTCAGAAATGTTGGGCGTGATGTCTTGGAGTTGTTGCTATTGGTTGGCAGATATGGGCTAGCAGTTCAAAATGAAACTTAGCAGAAAACACAGAGAAATAACAACAAGTTGGATCCAGATTCAGTCATGCTTATTAGTCCCACGCATTCCAACAGATCCGTTCCAAATTTAGATCCCATTCAGTATTGGCCATTTCTTTTGAATGGAAGAAACTGAAGAATACTTTTAAAAAAGGAATTATCACAAGGGTAGGGAAGACTTCAAACAGGCTTTTGAAAATCACATCAAACAGCTTTGTAATCTTCATTTTAGAAAACCCATACAAGCATTTCAATGAAGAAATGTAATGATTTAATCCCTTCACCACACCCCGACCCAGCTGCTTTTTGCTCCCAGCAAGTCCAGCCAAAACCTGGAAGTAATGAGCCTCATGGGGGAAGTGTGACTATTATGCAATGATATAATGTATGTCCATTTACTGTACCTCTAATTTAGAGGCTCACTATCCCTAGTCAGGATTGGTGAGAGGTCAGCAAAGCTGTTTTGGATTCAACTGAGGCTATAAAGAGTTGCATTTGTGAGGCACTGCTGAAGAGGGCACTGCCTGAGTCCCATTCCCAATTAGACAAATCTTTGCCTATGGATTTATGGGCACATGCAGGTCCCACGCTAGGTAGGGGGAACATACCAGTAGTAAAGGTCTTCTGCCTTGCTATATTTTAACGTGTCTTATTGTGCACCAAGTCACTGTGTAGCTAACACCCACAAAAGCCTTATTTTTCTAGAACAAAAGTAGCAAACACAGCACTCACAAGCTGCGGGTGACTCTATGCTGGCCACTTTTACAGCTGAAAAGTGAGTTGAACTGCCAAGAAAGAGTTTAGCCCTCAAGACTCAGAACTGCTGCTGCTTTAGGAATAACAATTCTCGCCTCCAAAGCTGAAGTCTCCAAACTTCCTTCCAAAGCACTAGTCTTTGAAGGTTAGGTTTACAATAATCCTGGCGGGTTAAACTACCTCTTAGGGCCCTTGGGGTTTACCCGCTCCTTTTCTGAAGCACACATTGCTTCATGAGCCCCAATAAAATTATTGCTTAATTGAACATTTTAAATGGCTAATCTGACTTAAATACCAATATGCAAGAGGTTAAGCTACACCTATGCCAGTGTTTATCAGATTTACTCTGTAGCCATTTTTACAAGCACACACATCACTCTGAAGCCGGATTTTCTGGTATTTTCCAAATGTGATGTTTTGCAATTTTATTTTTTTAAAATACATCAATTTGCTTAAGGGAACTTCTCTCCTTGGGCAAAGGTAGTTGCAGACATTACTTTGAAAAAGTCATCAACTAAGAGTTACCTGAGACTGTCGGAAAGAGCCTCCACTCCATATTTTGAAGGACAGTAGCCACCGCCAAAGAAGGACACCCGGCCCATGACGCTGGCAACGTTGACAATTCTCCCCTTGGCTTTTCTCAGGAAAGGCAACATGTGTTTGGTCACATCAAACACACCCAAAAGGTTGATATCTAAGATTTTCTGGAAATCCTCTTTGGTCAGCCATTCATTGGGAGCAGTTGGGATTGAGACGCCTGCATTGTTCACCAAACCCCAGAGCCCTGGTGGAGAAAAAAGAGTGGGGAAAAGTCAGAGGTCCAATAACAGCATCCCATTTTAATGGTTTTACTGGTAATATGACTGTGTGGTTTTAATTTATATCTAATCCATATAACTGATGGTTTTCATTGGATCTGTTTTGTACTCAATTTTAAACATATTTTATTAAGACGTTCCTACAATGTCTTTCCATGCTTTTAATTCCCATATATACTTTATTCCATCCCAATACAGTATGAGCACATTTCTTTTGAGATGTATATAAATACTGCATTGCCTTATGATTTGTTGAGTGTAATACACCTCTGAAGCATCACATGCACACATATCACACAAACACACACTCTGCAAGGCACAGCTTGATCAGCAAACAGTGATCGGGCAAAGACTTTTTTATTTAAGCAAGCTTTTAATTCTTAAAATGAAAGGTACCGTATATACTTGAGTATAAGCCAACCTGAATATAAGACGAGGCACTTAATTTTACCACAAAAAAACCTGGGCAAACTTATTAACTGAAGTATAAGTCTAGGGTGGGAAATGCAGCAGCAACTAGTAAATTTCAAAATAAAAATAGATACCAATAAAATTACACTAATTGAGGCATCAGTAGGTTAAATGTTTTTGAATATTTACCATATTTCAAGCAAAAGCTGAAACTAGCTCTAAGTGGAAAAGTAGGGTCAACAAAAACAATATGGTATCGACAATAACTTAATAATAATAATAACAATAATAATAAAATTTCATTTGTATCCTAGTCCATGGGGACTCAGGTCAGCTACCAACATAGTAACAGGCAAACATTCAATGCCTATATAAACAATGCAGGACTAAATATAGATTTATAATCTATGTAGACATCTCTCTATATAGAGTCGCCTACGGGCTAATATGGGCGGGATATAAGTGATGTAAATAAATAAATAAATAAAATATAATTATCTATATAATATAATATATATACAATTATTTTATATATACCCATATCCATACAAATAGATATACAGATATATCTGGTACTTCTATATATTAATCGATAATATTAATATATAGATTTGCAGCATTTGCAGAGACTTGCAAACATATGGGGGGGGGAATTCATACATAAAAATAATGTATACATACAGATATACAGGTACATGGAAATCTCTAGATATCTATATGTATATAAGATTTGTGAAGACCTGCAAACATATGAGGGGAAATTTCCAGGATTGACCCCATTATAAGCCAGGGGAGGCTTTTTCAGCTCCAAAAAGGGCTGAAAAACTCAGCTTATATCCAAGTATATATGGTACATGGGTGTTTTCAATGTGGCGTGTAGGACTTTTCTTTTCCAAATTATGTTTTGAATGTGTTGTAAGTTGTTTTATAAGCATTCCATTTTTGATATAATTGTTCAATTAGTTTTGAGTTTTCTCACCTCTACAAGAGGCCACTCAATTTTGTTGTATATTGTGGGTCTTGTGCCAGAATAAAGGTAGGATACAAATTAAAGATATGAATAAGAATACAAACTGTCCAAGACATGTTGATGGCCAAGTTACAAAATCTGACACTCTATAGAGTAGTAAAACAACCCAAAATTGACAATATATAGGCACACTTTGACAGTAATCCATTTTTGTTACCTGAACCCTGCAACTCCCAGGAACTTTGTTAAAGTAATGAAAGAAGACAACATTCAAAACCAAAGCTGAGGAAAAGTAGGATTGTATCATAAATATTGCTTTTCCATCTAAAGCTATAGAACAAAGGAAGTATTGTTTCCATGCGCTGGTTCCAGGGACATGGTGAAAAACTCTTTTTTTCCTGCTCAGATACACGTAATGTTCTACTTACCCACCTATCATAATAATGTCAGTACTCTATATCCATGGAGTCAACCATCTACAGTTTGAAAATATTCAAAACAAAATTCTAAACCTTGATTTTGCCATTTTAAATAAGGGACCCCATTGTACCATGCCATTGCATATAATGGTGCTTGAGCATTTTGACTCAAGTGTCATTGACATTTCCAGGGTCCCTGGAACCCAATCCCAGATGATATCAAGGGTCCATGTATAACTGAATTAATAAAATATTTTAACATCTGCCTCCTCCAGTGATTAGAAACAAAAGTGAGCTGGGCCCAAGGTGGTAGATTAGAACTCTACCTTGGATGCTTGAAAGAAGATATTTGGATCCATATAGGATGCACATGCTATTAAAAAGCAAAACAAGTTTTGAATAATATTTGAAAACTACATCATTTTTTAGGACCTTCTCAGAGGAGGTAAATATGCTACAATTATTTGGTTTTGCCGAACAGATCAAAATCTGTGATTTATGCCCCTAACTCAAAAAGCAGTCAGGAACTGTAGCATGTGTTTCTGTGCCACGGAAAGCGCCCCAGCCTTTCCAAATGTACAGGTCAGCAATGACAAACTTTTAGGTTTTGGCTCATTCGTCTAATGCAGTATAAGGTGACTGCCTGTTTTTCTAAAGGAAATATGTTCTTTTTAGTAACCACAAAACAGCTGCTGGCTCAGGCTCAAAACCATATACAGAATCCAAGCCCTTCCCAGCTGCACCCGAACCTTTGTCTCCTACGATGCCTTTCACCCACTCTGCTGCCTGGGCCACGCTTTCGGTCCTGGTGACATCCAAGGAGGTGGTCTGCAGACGTTGTGATGTTGCCTCTTTCAGTTTCTTTGCCCCCTCTTCCGTGAAGCAGCCTGCTAGGACTCTCAGGCCACGGGCATCTAGCTGCCTGGCCACCAAATTGCCGAAGCCAGAATCACAGCCAGTTATGAAGACATACTTCTCTGTCAGGGGGCTCAAGATTTGTTTCTCACGGTACCATCGGTGTAACAGGTAAAGGCCCAGGATGCCTACAAGGTACAGCCACATGGCCAAAGATTGCTTTGGCTGGAAGAGAAGGAAAAGGTTTATGAGATGTAATTGTTTATTGATTGGTGAGGAACGTACAATCTTGCAAAGATTTAATACAATATAGCAACTAAAAGACTATAGATCTGAAGCCTGCAATCTGAATTTTCCCCTTACCACGAATCCAGCATGGTATGGTATAGGAGCAGTGTGTTGGGCTAAGGTTACACTTACACTGTAGAATGAATTTAGTTTGACACCATTTTAATTACCATGGCTCAAAGCTATGTAATCCTAGGAGTTGCAGTTTGATAGGACACCACTCTTTGGTAGAGAAAGCTAAAGGCCTTGTAAAACTACAACTTCACTAAATCCATAGTATTGAGCCATGGAAGTTGTCAAACTTGAGCCATGGAAGTCATGTAAAACTGCTATAATTCAAAGTACAGATGCACCTTTTAAACAACAACAACAACAACTTTAGTTCATACCCCACCTCCATCTCCCCGAAGAGATCCGGGTCAGCTTACAGAGGGACAAGCCCAAAAATTACAGTAAAACAGACACAGTAATATCAATCAATAACAACAAATAATAAAAACATTAAAATCAATTAACATCATAAAAACAATATCCTGGCTGGCCAATTTGAAACTGGGTTTGGGCTCAGAGTAAGTGCAATGATTCCTTGGAAGAGCCGAGGGAAAGTGCAATAGTCAGAGGGTTGTCAGGGTAATGCCCTTGGCCATTAAAGTGTCATAAGCACTTTAGGGGCCAACTAAAGTGCCGGAGCTTAGATAAGGTCAGGATAATTCTCAAGTGAATCATCTAGTTTGTAATTCCTTGCGGAAAATGGAGAGAGTGGGGGCCTGTCTGATCTCCCTAGGAAGAGAGTTCCAGAGCCGAGGGGCCACCACAGAGAAGGCTCTCTCTTTCGCCCCCACCAACCATGCTTGAGATGCATTTCAAGTCTATCATCCAACAACAAGTCCCAGAATTCCACTCAAAGGTGCCATGGAAGTTCAAATGAACTGACACTGATGTAACTTCATAGTGCATTTGCACCCAAAATGAACTTCAAACTGTCATACCTTGAATTCCCTCCTCTGTAATGATTTTGAGATCTTGGGACACAATGTTCAGCTATGATCTACCAAGTAGTTTTCAAAATCCAGTAGATTAATAGGAATAACACTTAAAGCCTTTCTACATCCTTCTTCTAAGGCCCCTTCCATGCGGTTCCTATATCCCGGGATCTGATCCCAGATCTAATCCAGAATATCTGGCAGTGGAGATTCATATAATCCAGTTTAAAGCAGATAATCTGGGATCAGATCCTGGGATATAGCACAGTGTAGAAGGGGCCTACAATGAGGAGCTCCCGAAATCAAGAACACTTCTAGGAAAGTTAACTCGTATGTCAAAGGACATCCAGGTATGGAAAACAGTACATATATGCTCACATACCCATAGAATCATAGAAGTTGGAAGAGAGTTGGAAGAGACCACATGGGCCATCCAGTCCAACCCCCTGCCATGCAGGAAAAGCACAATCAAAGTACTTTTCCTGCATGGCAGGGAGTTGGACTGGATGGCCTATGTGGTCTCTTCCAACTCTATTATTCCATTATTCAACTCTATCATTCTATGCTCTGAAAAACAGATTCCTGAGCTTTAACATGAGATCAGTGAAAACTTGTTCTGCTATTCAGTGCCCATCACCCTAAGCCACTTGTTTGCTATTGGACATCTCGAGCTCTGTTAAAACACAATATATCTCCTATAAAGCTCAAGTTAGCCCACTCTTGCTCTCTAATTGCCATAAATCATGACATCAAAAAAGCAATAGCTTTAATAAAGCATTTCCAATCACTATAAGGGTTTTTCATATCATTTGTTTCTCTCACCTCTTTCCTCTGGCCAACAAATGAGGCAATGGGAAATAACCTCAACAAAGAGCTGGCATACTTCTAACAGCAAAAAGAACACTTATGCGAGATATGTGGAGTACAGAGGTTAAATTATATTTTAACTTGCAGAGTGAGATAAACAGCAGTCAAGTTCAAGAGGCGTCTTTGTGCAGTTTGCACAAAGATCAAACCATGTGAAAACCTAATATGAAGCTGATTCTCATACATGCCCTCCAATAGGGTGCTTGGCCTGGGTGCTACACATAGAGTAAATAATGTTTTAAAAATAGAAATGGAATGGATTGATCTTTTTGTGTGTGTGAAATCCAATTTGGGAAATGAAATAATCTGCTCTAACCTTAAATCCCTGGATTCACTAGGAAATATATGAAAATCACAATAGTTTAAAATCCAATCCATTACTAAATACAGCCAGCCCACCACAATTTTTGAGGTTAGTGATACAGAACCCATGAATGTAGAAACATCATGAATAAAATAAATGTTTTCTGTCTTTAACCCAAGGGGACATCTTTTTAGGAATTTCTAGGTTCGCCAGCATGACTTTCCCCCATGTTTTAGGGATCTGACAGGATACAATGCAGTTTTTCATCAGCTTCAGCAGCCAGCACCTTGCTTTTGGGCCAAAGTTCTTAATTTGTTCCCTCCACAGATCATCCAGGCCAGGTGCTTTGCCATTTTTACATTTACTGAGAGTCATTTCCAATTCGGTAGATGTAAAAGGTTCATGAAGGGTGTTGTTCTCATTATCTGATTGTCTGACAATTGGTTTCCTTCCTAGTTTGGTGGCAAGGTTGGGTTTCCCATTCTTCAGAAGTTGATGCACTAGCTGATCTGCCTTTATGTTGGCTTGGGTATTAGTTTATGAGGGAGCATTGCTCAACTGTTTTGATACCCTTTTGACTACTCCTGCCCATATCGACTTCTGTTATCAACTTTTTACACTGCTCTTTCTTGGCTTGGCATTGAAACAGTGGATGTGGCTCTTAATGAAACATGCTGCATTATCACAGGATGTCTACAGCCTGCATCACTGGAGAAATTAGACTAACTGGTATTGCACCACCTGACATCCGCCAGGAAGTAGCAGCCAGTAATGAAAGAACCAAGGCAGTGACATATTCGGCCCATCCTCTCTTCGGATATCAGCCAGCATGCCAATGACTTAAATCAAGAAACAGCTTCCTAAGATCTACAGAGATACTTGCAGGAACACCCCAGCAAGCGAGAGTCCAAAAGTGGCAGGTAAAAACCCAAAACCTCAATCAGTCGCTGAGACCAGATAAAAAACTCCCTCCTGGGCACACAGAAGTCTGGGCAACTTGGAAGGTGATGAACAGACTATGCCCTGGCACCACGAGATGCAGAGCCAACCTTAAGAAATGGGGTTACAAAGTGGGGTCCACAACATGTGAGTGAGGAGAAGAGCAAACCACAGACTATTTACTACAATGCAGCCTGAACTTTGCCACATGCACAATGGAGAAACTTCTTACAGCGACACCAGAGGCACTCCAAGTGGCCAGCTTCTGGACACAAGACATTTAGCATAATGCCAAGTTTTAAACTTTGCAGTTTTTAATACATTATAACTGTACCCTCAATTCGCTTCTGACACAATAAATAAAAGTAACTATTCTTTCATCCTGGTATGTTCTGAGTGTCCTTGAATAGAATTGCCACAGTTCGAGCACCAAACGGAAATAGTTACTCACAGAGAAGTGTCTCCGTTTATCTCTAAGCCTCGTTCTGTAGCTCCAAAGGCCAGATGGGTTTCAGGGCACGATCCAAGTTTTAAGATTAGACTCTTCTATAGGTTAAATGCTCAGTTTGCAAAAATTGCACATCAGTCAGATAGCAGATATGAACAAAAGTCAAATAGAAATCTTGATTTTAAACCCAGCCTTCTTTGTTATGGCAATTCAAGTCCACCTTAGATAAAGGCTTGTTCTGACAATGGGACAGGGCCCTTCCACACAGCCCTATATCCCAGAATATCAAGGCAGAAAATTCCACAAAACCCTTAATTAAATAGTGTCAAACTGTATTAAATCTACAGTGTGAATGCACCTATGGAGTAGAGAATAACTGTAAGTGGGTGGACACACCCTGTGTTCCTGTTAACTCCTGTATGGATGCAATATTCAACTATCGCCTCATAACCTGCGGGTAGAAATACTATCTTATCAGCCGATAAAAAGACTTCAATCAGCTCTAGCAGGCTTTTCTACTTAGGCAGAACTTATATGATTTCATGGCATGGTGCAACCTATTCATTAAACTTGGTTGTATTTTTATGTTGGGAAAGGAGAGAAGGGTTCCCTCTAAGGCCCCTTCAACGCTGTCATATAATCCAGATTATCAAATCAGATAATACATACTATCTACTTTGAACTGGATTATCTTAGTCTACACTGCCATATAATCCAGTTCAAAGCAAATAATTTATATGACAATATAGAAGGAGACTATAATGCTCTGATATCAGGGACCTTGGCATACAGAAGTATGAGTGTGTGTTTTAGCAATTCCTGCTCAGTCATTTCCTGCAAATTGTCTTGGGACAGACTAGGCATAAGTGCAAATCCATGCAATCTCTTTCCAGCATGACACAAGATAACTTGCCACTTTATAGAAACAGAAGAAACATCATCCTACACTAAAGCGTTGACATCCCACTTTAAATCCAGTTTCTGCCTCCTACGGAATTCTAGGATTTATAGTTTAGGGAGGCCCAGGTCCTCTATGGCTGAGAAATTTAAATCCCCTAAACTGCAAATCCCAGGTTTCAACAGGAGGCAGCCAAAGAATTTAAAGTCCGAACGTATCTCCCTCTACATCCCACCACGGAATCTAAGATCATCTGAGGGGGCCCTGCTCTCAATCCCACCGCTTTCCCAAGTGAGGCTGGTGGGGACAAGGAGCAGGGCCTTCTCAGTGGTGGCCCCTCACCTGTGGAACTCACTCCCGGCGGATATCAGGACATCGACATCACTCCTGTCCTTCAGGAGGAAGGTAAAGACATGGTTGTGGGACCAGGCCTTCGGGCAATCTGCCAACTAAGTAAGGACAACCAGACAAATAGGACCGGCAGGACTGATAAATGTGGAATGAAACTCTGAACTATAAGATAGCGAATATTGACCGGCAATAAGGAGTAATTGGTTTGTATCGGTTTGTATGAAATTTTTATGGGTTTTATTGGTTTTATTGGGTATAGATATGATGTATTGTTGTTGTTTGCTATTTTGTGCTATTGTGTTTTATTATTGTTGTATGTTACAGGCATCGAATTGTGCCTTGGATATGTAAGCCGCCCTGAGTCCCCTTCGGGGTGAGAAGGGCGGGGTAAAAGTAAACCAAATAAAAAGTGGGATGCCACTTTAGTGGTAATCTACTAGTCTGGGGTAGCAACCAGAATCAGAATGTAGAATCCATGATCCTCCAGAAGTTGTCAGTACAATACTCAAAATCTCTCCCCCTCTGGTTGGATGTGTGTTTGTGTGTCCATGAATACGCTTTAGTAAAGGTGCATCTACACCAGTGATTCTCAACCTCTGATCCTCCAGGTGGTTTGGACTTTAACTTCTAGAAATCCCAGCCAGCTTGCCAACTGTTAGGAATTATGGGAGCTGAAGTCCAAAACACCTGGAAGACCAAAGGTTGGGAACCACTGATCTACACAATAGAATTAAAGCAGTTTGACACCCTTTAAATGCCATGGCTCAATGCTATGAAATCATGGAAGTAGTAAGGAGTCCCCAGTGGCGAAGTGGGTTAATCCCTTGTGCCGGCAGGACCGACAGATCGCAAGTTTGAATCCGAGTAGAACGTGGATGAGCTCCCTCTGTCAGCTCCAGCTCCCCATGCGGGGACATGAGAGAAGCCTCCCACAAGGATGATAAAACATCAAAACAGCCGGGTGTCCCGCAGGCAATGTCTTTGCAGATGGCCAATTCTCTCACACCAGAAGCGACTTGGAATTTCTCAAGTTGCTCCTGACACGAAAAAAAGGAAGTTGTAGTTTGATGAGGCAAACAAGTGTTGATGCCGAGAAGGCGAAAGAGCTTGTCAAACTACAACCCACTTAACTGCATAGCACTGATTTTTAACAATGTGTCTTACAGCATCTGAAAGACTTAACATTTTATTTGCCTTATGCTCCCATGGGGTGAAAATGCAGTCAGGGAAAGCCTTTGCTTGTCAATACTTCTTAGTCCTTAGTTGAGGTAAGTCACACTCTCTCAGCCCCAGAAGAAGGCAAAGACACACACACACACACACACACACACACGCCACCGCTGAATAAGTATTGCCAAGAAAAACCCATGATCGGTTCATTGGATTGCCATAAATCGGAAAAGGCCTTGATGGCACACAACAAACCAATAAAACCCCTTTCTAACTGTTTACTCTTTACTCCCCAAAGAAATCATAGTCACATATTGCAAAACACAATGCAAGCTATGGAGAAATAAAAACAGCCCACGATGGCACAAATCTGAGGTCATGTTTGGATACAGGATACCGAAGTCTTACAAAACCAGAGGGGTTTTTTGTTGGTCAAAATTGTAAATGCCTACTAAGAAGGCCAAAACCCATGATCCAGGGTTTATTATTACATATTTCCTGCTGTTTAGTTCAGATATTCTCACATATATAAAGTCAGAATAAACCATACAAAGTTCACAATTCGTGGATTTTAAATCATTTTAAATCATTTTATGTACATGCGATCTTTACAACCATTTTACCGAGTAGCAACCTCCCCTCTCCCCACAGCACAGTGATACAGAGACCAGCCTAGGATAGCAATGTTAATGAACACTGCAGTGATTGTGTCTGAATTCGTTGAAAAAGACATACAGGATTTGAGCCCTGGTCTCCAGAGATGTAATCCAATGTAATTGCCATGACCCAATGCTGGCATTCCTAGTTCGGTGCGGCACCAACGTTCTTCGACAGAGAAGGCTTAAGACCTTTTCAACACTGATCCATAACTTTGGGCCATGGCAGTTCAAGAGGTGCCAAACTCTGTGGATTCTACAATTTAGATATACATTGCCTCTCTTGACACTTAGACTCCTTCCACACAACTGAATAAAATCCCACATTATCCCGCTTTGAATTGGAATATAGGGCAGCATGGGCTCAGATAACCCAGTTCAAAGCAGGTATTGTGGGATTTTCGCCCTTGATATTCGGGGTTATATGGCTGTGTGGAAGGGTCCATAGGCTGTATCTACCAATGCAGAGCCCCTGGTGGCACAGTGGCTTAAACCCTTGTGCTGGCAGGAATCCAGGGAGAGTGCAGATGAGCTCCCTCTGTCAGCTCCAGCTTCCCATGCGGGGACATGAGAGATGCCTCCCACAAACAATGGTAAAATCTCAAAACATCCTGGCATCCCCTGGGCAACGTCCTTGCAGATGGCCAATTCTCCCACACCAGAAGCAACTTGCACTTTCTCAAGTTGCTCTTTTTTTTTTTTTTGGTTGTGTCAGGAGCGACTTGAGAAATTGCAAGTCGCTTCTGGTGTGAGAGAATTGGATGTCTGCAAGGACGTTGCCCAGGGGACGCCAGGATGCTTTGGTGTTTGAAGTTGCTCCTGACACACACACACACACACACAAAATCTACCAATGTGATGGGAGTTGTCATTTTCCCAAGGTCTTTCATCTTCTCTGCTGTGGGTCTTTCCACACAGCCCTATATCCCAGAATATCAAGGCAGAAAATCCCACTTTATCAGCTTTAAAGTGGGTTATCTGAGTCCACACTCAAATAACGTGGGATTTTCTGCCTTGATATCCTGGGATATGGGGCTGTGTGGATGGGCCCAAAGTGTACTGTTGCCTCACCAAACTATGAATCCTAGGGCTCCATAACATTGAGCTACAGCAGTCAAAAGTGATGTCAAGCTGCATTCATTCAACCGTCTAGTTTTGGTGAGGCACCTGCACTCTTGGGCACTAGGCATGGTTAGATACTGTCGGAATCTTTGTAATTTGGAATAAAGTCAGGAGAGAATGCTTCTGGAATATGGCTATACAGCCCGGAAAACTCACAGCAACCAGTAAAAAGTATGATAGCTGGGAACCAATGCTGGTTACGCAAGGTGGGTCAGAATTAGAGAAGTGAAGACGTGAGCGAGACATAAAGTTTATAAAGCACACGGCATCCACATGTAATTAAGTTTAAGTGATAGTGAAGGATGGTAAAAAATGAAAGTTACCAATAGTTAAGTTTATAGCTGCGCCAGTGTAATTCTGACCCACGTTGTACAACTAGCATTGGGTCCCAGCTATCATACTTTTGCCCAGCAAACGAACTCCCAGATTCATAGCACTGTGTCTTGGCAGTTAAAGTAGTATCAAACTGCATTCATTCTACAGTGTACATGCAAAACCTAATTCGCCTGCTAGGGTCAGCCTAACAGGCGAATTAGGGGTTGCATCTACACTGTGTAGAATGATTGCAGTTTGAAACCCCACTAGGCGAACACCCCACTTTTGGCAAGCCTTCCTCCAAATGGGTTGTAGGTTTTTCAGAGCTATATGGCCATGTTCTAGAGGCATTTTCTCCTGACGTTTCGCCTGCATCTATGGCAAGCATCCTCAGAGGTAGTGAGGTCTGTTTGAAGTAGAAAAATGGATTAAGGATGAAACCATGAAAATGAACAAAATCTGGCTACCAGTATTAAAAAACTCAAAAATTACAACAGCAAAACAACAGAGAGTAAACAATCAGGCACATCAAATCACCTCTCAACAAAACATTCCCCCAGGCACTTCCAAGCCATTAAATGCTAATCAAGGTGGTCAGTTGAAACATTCACACCTAGCTCCAGCAGACAAAAGTCCTTTGTCCCACCCTGGTCATTCCACAGATATATAAACCCATTTTCCTACTTCCAACAGACCTCACTACCTCTGAGGATGCTTGCCATAGATGTAGGCGAAACGTCAGGAGAAAATGCCTCTAGAACATGGCCATATAGCCCAGAAATACCTACAACAACCCAGTGATTCCGGCCATGAAAGCCTTCGACAATACATTGAACTTCCTCCAAATCATAGAATCCTAGAGTTGGAAGAGACCTCATGGGCCATCCAGTCCAACCCCCTGCCAAGAAGCAGGAAAATTGCATTCAAAGCACCCCAGACAGATGGCCATCCAGCCTCTGTTTAAAAGCTTCCAAAGAAGGATCCTCTACCACACTCCGGGGCAGAGAGTTCCACTGCTGAACAACTCTCACAGTCAGGAAGTTCTTCCTAATGTTCAGGTGGACTCTCCTGTCTTGTAGTTTGATCTCCCCCTCCCTGCCCTCCTTTACTCTTAGCCCTTTTCTCTGGCTCTCCCCATTTGGCCCCTAAAGCCGGCGAGGCAGCTGGAACAACGCGTTCCCAAAACGTACCTCGACACGTGTCCTGGCTGGCAAAACCCAAGCACAACCTCGCCGTGGGACTCCGCTCGCTTATATGGTGGGGCAATGGGGAAGTTTCAAAACAAGGAGGGATTTGGCAGCCGGCCGATTCAGATGAAAACCACGAAGGAGGGGATCCCTGCTTGGAGGAGAAGGAGGACAAGGAGTGACTTCTCCTCTCTCTCTCTCTCTCTCTCTCCTCCCCGCTCTCTTGGCTTGGCCTTTGGCTGACTCCTGCGTTCGGGTCCCGGGAAGATCAGCCGGGGTCTGGCCCAAGGAACAACACCCAAGGGTCAGGTGATCAGGAAGCCTGGGAGGCAGCCAGTGGGGCTTCACAGAGACCGGTTTCCTAAGGGGTCCAGCGTCCCTCGCAATGGAAACACGCATTGAGGAACTTTGGAAGAGGAACTCCGATTATTTTGTTGCATAAAAGTATAAAAAAAGAAAAGAAATGACGCAATTTGTTTTTGCAAACTTTTTCCAAGGTGAGACACCAGCAATCTAGTAAGAGGAAGATTGGAAAATTAGTCATGCAGTTTCTAAATCCAGATTATCTGCTTTGAACTGGATTATATGAGTCCACACTGCCATATAATCCAGTGTGTGAATCCAGATTATTTGCTTTGAACTGGGTTATATGATTCTACACTGCCATATAATCCAGTTTCTGAATCCAGATTATCTGCTTTGACCTGGATTATATGAGTCTACATTACCTTAAAGTCCAGTTATTGAATCCAGATTATCTGCTTTGACCTGGATTATATGAGTCTACACTACCTTAAAATCCAGTTATTGAATCCAGATTATCTGATTGGAACTGGATTACATGAGTCTACACTGCCATATAATCCGATTTCTAAATCCGGATTATCTGCTCAGAACTGGGTTATATAAATGTACACTTCCATACAATCTAGTTTCTGAATTTTGATTATCTACTTTGAACTGGATTATATGTGTCTCCACTGCCATATAATCAATTTATGAATCAATATTATTTGCTTTGAACTGGATTATATGAGTCTACACTGCCATATAATCCAGTTTATGAATCCAGATTATTTGCTTTGACCTGGATTATAGACGTCTACACTACTTTATAATCCAGTTATTGAATCCAGATTATCTGATTGGAACTGGATTATATGAGTCTACACTGCCATATAATCCAATTTCTAAATCCGGATTATCTGCTCTGAATTGGGTTATATAAATGTACACTTCCATACAATCTAGTTTCTGAATTTTGATTATCTACTTTGAACTGGGTTATGTGTCTCCACTGCCATAAAATCAGTTTATGAATCCATATTAATTGCTTTGAACTGGATTATATGAGTCTACGCTGCCATACAATCCAGTTTCTGAATCCAGATTATCTGCCTTGAACTGGATTATACAAGTCTACACTGCCATATAATCCAGTGTCTGAATCCAGGTTATGTGCTTTGAACTGGATTATATGAGTCTCCACAGCCATTAATCCAGGGTTTGAATCTATATTATTTGCTTTGAACTGGATTATATGAGTCTACACTGCCATATAATCCAATTTCTGAATCCAGGTTATTTGCCTTAATCTGGATTATATGAGTCGCTACAGCCATATAATCCAGTGTGTGAATCCATATTATTTGCTTTGAACTGGGCTATATGAGTCTAACCTGCCTTAAAATCCAGTTTCTGAATCCAGTTTATCTGCTTTGGACTGGATTATACATGTCTACACTGCCATATAATCCAATTTCTGAATCCAGATTATCTGCTTTGACTTGGATTATATGAGTGTCTTAAAATCCAGATTATCTGCTTTGAACAGTGTTATATGAGTCTACACTGCCATATAAATCAATTTCTGGATTCGGATTATCTGCTTTGAACTGGATTATGTGAGTCTACACTGGCAAGTAATCCAAAACAGGCCAAAATGAGTGTTTCTCAACCTAATTTTCATTAAGTATACTTTAGAAACACTTTAGAAACAAAACGCCAGTTCCCTAATTTTGTGATAAGTTTTGAAACATTTTTAATAGATTGCACATGCCTATAATATTCTTGGCTGGAGTTACAATTAAAAATGCACCTGCTCCAATTTACAAACAAGTTCAGCTTAAAAACAACCTATAAAATCGATCTTGTTCGTAACTTGGGAACTGCCTATAGTGGAATATGCTGTTGCTTTGGAGAACTGTGAAGTCTCCTTCTTCGGAGATTTTTAAACAGAAAGGCCATCTGCCAGGAACACTTTGATTGCATATTCCTTCATAGCAGAAATGGGTCTTTTTCAACTCTGTGATTCTATGATTCTATGTCATTACACTTCCAGTTTCATTTTTGAACTATCTTTGGTTTGTTGAGTTTTTTATTAGGATTTTGGGATATGTCAGAGCTCAAATATGCTTTGGGCCCATTTTGAATTGGTTTTGCACAACAAAAACAAAAATCGCTTGTTTTTTTTAAAAATGAGGTATTTTGGAAATTTTGCAATTTCAGAAGATTCAAATTGGGGCCCAAAAGATCTATATATCACACTTGGACTATACTTTTTCTTCACTTTTGGGTTATAGTTATGGGTTAGTGTGCTGTCACACGTTGGGCCTGTAGCAATTGTCTATTCTGACGTAATCTTTATGTGCCCAGCGGGACGCCGGGGTGCCTCGGCTGACAGGCCCTATGAATTTCCTTATACAAAGTATTTAGAAGCTTGGAAAGTTTAACAAAGTTCTTTATTGGTGCAACAAACCAGTCAAATACTTCTTAGATCTTCAACAAGTCAACCAAATATTTCTTAACTTGTCCACAATGGACAGGCAACTAGCTTCATGAACTGTTTCTTTCTGCTATGAGGGAATCCTTTTGACCCCTCCCTGGGCAATCTGTCTTTTAGGCTTAGCTGGTGTGGGGCCCTACTCCCGGTTCCAATTTGCTTTATGGGTACCTGAGTAGACCTTACCGGCTAAAACTCTGAAGATTTTCCAGCTGGAGTCCTTTGGATTTCTTCCACGAATGCTGTGGATCTATTTCTTTAACCACAACAAGGGCTGTGCTGTATTTCTTAGTAAAGCTGTGAGAATTGTCTTCCTCAGCCAAGCTTGTAAGAAACGAAGCTTTTCTACAGGAGGGAAAAACTCACACGTCCTGTAGTTGGGCTTCAAACTGTAAGACTGAACAAACTATCCCCTTCCCTCCTGAACCTGGGGAAAAGGGCAGTTCCAAAAGCCCCAACAATGATAGGTAGGCTGCTAGCCTATGACTGCAGCCTGGGGGAAGCTGCTTAACTGCAAAATGCCTGACTAACAGAAACACGTGCAAACTAACCATGCATAGGGAAAAAAATAGCTTCTGGCACAGTTGTGCCAGCACAGTTAGGACTGTAATACTATACTAAATCATGAGACACACTGGGTGATTTTGGCCCAGACACTCTCTGAGCTTGTCCTACTGAAGACAATGGGAACCTTAGGAAGGTCTTCCCCAGGAGGAGGGACCCTGGGACCCCACCAAAGAGTGATAGCTAGAGAAGCCTGATTTCAGCAATTTTATTAAATTAAAAATTCGAAATACACCTCACCAAAGTTGAAGAAGCGGCACCAAGGTGTTTTTATTAGCGATTCAGCTGAAAAGGATGCAATGTAGCAATCATTTGCCTACAGAGCATGTGGTTACAGAGATCAGAGGCATTTTTATAGGAATTTACAGGTTTGAAAGTTTCAAAACTACCCGCCCCCCGCCCAGCTCGCTGGTGATTGGCTGGCCAGATAACAGCTGGGAGGAGGCTCGGCCGTTCTCCCCTCGCCAGGACCAATCACAGGGCTCCTATCAGGAAGCTCCCACCGCTCTGGCACTTCAGCGAATCAGGAAGAGGGAGGCGGGACGGAAAAGAAACAAAGCGTCTATGATAGGATTATGGAATTCCAATGTCCTGAGTTTCCTGCGTCCGGGAAATCGGCCAGCTAGAGAAGCCAACTTCTATTGTTATGTGATGTGTGGGTGATTGGTGTTGATTACTTGAGCCGGGTTTTCCTGCTATGATCAGATAAGGCACAAAGGTGAGGCTTGGGGTGGATGTTTGCTATGAAGAGTTTTGAAAGAAGTAAACAAAGTTGGGGAAGGCGACCTCCCGAGAGTCATCTCGCTCCCATTGTGAACTGATCAAAAAGTTTGCCAAAGGAAATTCCAGTTTGATGGTCCCAACTCCGAAATCAAATACGAATTTCAAGTTCTATTGTCCATGCAAGAGTTCCAAGATATGGGGTTTTTGTGATCGCTGATTGCCATTTTCAGCACCAAAGGGCAACTTCCTTATTGGCTCCCCCTTCTCGAAGAGGGGAAGGGGGAAGGGGTTGAGTGCCAGGGCAAAAATAAGGAAAAATACATGGGGAAATATAGGAATCCAAAGAAATTCATATCAAGCATCCCTTCCCACCCCCTGCCCACCAGAGAAATTGATTAAAATAATAATTTTAATAAAACATGTGTCCATAGTTCATACTGGGGAAATGAGTTCTTTAGAGCCAAAAAGAAATTGAAGAAAGTCCAACAGTCACAAAAGGGTGCTTGATGATCTCCACTGAGCCAAGGAATGGATTCTTGCAGCGCCAAGATCAAGCTGGTCCTTAGTCCTTGGGAAACTATAACTTCCTCCAAGGACTGGGACCCCAATGCCAGGCTCTTCCCTGAAAGCCTCATGGGGTCCTTGTTGTTGCTGGTGTCTTGGCAAATTGACCAAAACTCAACCCCTTTTGCAGTCTGGTACCCTTGCCCTTTGCAGAACTATAAGTTACTGCCCCTTATTTGGGGGGAAGGGACACATGCTCGACTTCACTACCTCAGAAGGAAGCTTTAAAAGAAAAGCAGAACAGAAATGAAGTGAAATCCCTCTCAGGAGCTCCTACTCAATGTGGAAGGAAGCAGAAATGCAGGCAGTGCTGGCATACACAGTTCTTTGCCCATATGCACTGTCTGTATATGACTTTTGACCGCAACACTTGAGCAAGTCTATATTTGACATAGTATGTAAAGTGAAAGCTGGCCCTTGTACTCTGAAGCAGTAAACCTGGGATTGTCTCATTGCAGTGATTACAGAGCCATCATGAGTGGAGCTGCTGTATCTCTCTGTTCCCCTTGTAAAGGTGTCTACACTGCAATCTGACAGCAATTTGGACCTCATCATACTAGAGCATCTGTCCACTTTAAATCCTGTAGCTGCCTCCTGCAAAATTCGAGGGTTTGTAG